GGTCGGCGGACTGAGCCGGAGGCGCTTAAGTCCGGCCTGGCCGTCATGGTCCAATTCGCATGCACGCCTAGCTAAGCTATGCTTATAGGGGTGACGCCCCAACCGCCGACCCCCTGCCTTGGAAGCCCTGCAGGCGTGTTTTTGGGGGGTCAAAATTCTAGGTGATTTTTGGGTGCCTTTTTGAGGCTTAACAGAGCGGTACGGAAGGTTTTGGGCGAATTTTTTCAGGCCAGCATTATCAGCAATTGGGCCTTCGTTTCTGATTTTTAGACACCTCTACATACCTAAGGTTTTGGAGGGTTGTTGGAACCTCATATGTGCGGTGTCAAGAAGGAATATTGGGGCCCAAACAGGCGCCATGATGCTCATGATGCTGGCTATTGGGGAAAATGGGGTCCCAATTGCGCTGGTGATGTTCCTGTCCCTGTGCGAGGCGCGCGCGCGCACCTCGTACGCGAACATTATCAGCACAATTGCAACCCCATTTTTGCTCGTTTTCAAATGAACTAAAGAACAGAAGACCTTCTAAACCTAAAAAGCCCATCCCAGGTAGCAAGCATAGTCTAGGGGCTTCAGGTTCAGGCGTACGGTTGCGGCCAGGCCGGCCCGTGCCGCCGGGCCGTAAATTTCAGGCTAAAACACGTTTAATTGACCAAAGCACTACTTTGAACTTCTACGTTCAATTAAGCGTGGCTAAACAGCGAAAGCTACTGGTTTTTACCAACATGGCCTGCACAGCATTGTGCATACTAGCCTGACCTAAAACAAGGTCAGAACCAGGCGTACAACAGCAGTCGAAACACGATGATGAAGGCTTGGATCGTAAACAATCCGTCCCGGTCGTTCGTCGTTCGCAATACGGCAAGCGTTTTGCCAGGGCGTCTCCTGCAAAGAAAATGCGCATAGCCTGATCCCGGATGAGGCGTTGGTTGGCAAACACTTTCTAAGATGCCTTTCAGATTTTTGACAGACATTGAGCGCTTGCATTGAGTGAGCGAGCCAGCAACTGAGTGAAAGAGCGGAATGGCGAGTGAGGAAGTACATGAGTAAAATTGCGAGCGTTGGTAAACAAGAGAGTGGCAGACTGACTAACTAGGTCAAAAATAAAATAGGTAGCACATTTTGACGAAATTGTCCTGTTCATGAAAATCCTTCTCCTAAGCTCTACAGTTAGTAGTCAATGAATGTTCGTATGCTGTCTAGGTCTGGCTCATTTCATAGTCGTCTCGTGCTTGGATCCAGAGCTGACCCGGCAAGGCTCCCAAGAAGTGATGGTTCAGTGCTTTCCATCAAAAGCAGCCGACCCATGAAAGCTTGACTAGCAAACTGTTCCCCGAATATGTCTTCACTTGGATATGCATGCTCTGCGACTGCACCAGCGGTTGCGATTGGCCCGGTGTGCATTCACGGTGAGGCATTTGCAGGCCGGGCTCCAAACTTATGGAGGTGGGAAGATTGACATCTCCGCAACAACACAAAATTGTGGCATGCCGAATATGTTGTGCATCCCCAAGCCCAGCAGCGACACTGAGAATCAGATCGGTGCTGTCAGGATCGAGCCAAGGATTTCAAACAGGAGAGCAAGCTGACAATCTTGCGACTGAGTTTGTTCCTAAGCACTTGCCTGTCGCACTATCTGGACAGTGGTGAAACTACGCGTGCCGTGGCCTTCTTTGCACCATTCATTGTCTGGCGTCTTAGCGCGTAGGCCGTGAGGCAACGTGATCTTTGTACATTATCTGAGGCCGTTCAAGGCATGATACCACAGACAAGCTGTGGTGTTCACGCTTGTCAGGTCGTTTTCTCCAGCAGGGTTGAGACAAGACCCTGCGAATAAAATGAGAAGGTTGGCTAAAGCCCATGCTCCGGATCTCCAATTCTAGCGGTGAATCCACTGCTTGGCAGTGCATTCATAAGGCTAGTCCTCCAAGGCTGAGCAATCTTTGAATTCGCCGCCCTTCTGCCAATGCGCCTTCACATCGTCTGCAATTTTTCAGTTGCATATAACCCCTACGTAACCCTTAGTAGTTTTCACTTTTTCCATTGTCTCTGTAGAACCCTTATATAACCCACTTGTAACCCCTGTATATACATATATATATATATGTATATATATTTGCTTGTTTATTTACATCCCGTTACAATGTTGTAGTAGTAGTAGTAGTAGTAGTAGTAGTAGTAGTAGTAATTGAATGGATGAATCCTCAGGCCGCCCGGCCTCCACAGATAGTGTGAACTGCGCTTGACGGATACCAAGCAGTTTGAGGACCTGCGAGAGACAACCCCTAAATAGTAGTTTCCATCTTCTTTTCCATTGTGCTTATATAAACCCCATAGTACCCCTATATCATAACATAGCCCTTTACCCCTATATTACCCCCATATGTTCCGCAACGAGTCAGCAGTGACAAAATCAATCTATTGAAGCTGACTCCAGCCTGCGCTGCATCCGCAGAAAGCTCCTTGCTAAGCTTCAAGCAACTGCCAGGGGTAGTCGAAGCAATCAACAGTAGATGGTTCTAAGATAATTCTTTTGCTGCCCTGCAGGCTGTTGACAGGCTTACACTCCCCATGTAGCCATAATCAAAACTCTTAGTATCCCCCCTGAATAACCCCTATAGTAGTCCCCCATGTAATCACTGATATAACCCCCTTAAAGGAGTTTAAACTATGGCTCATATTCGCCATGTCCTTGCCAGCGGTACACACTGTATGATCTCCCAGCAGATGGATCTTGGCCTGACAGGCAAGTGAACTTCTCGCTAATTACCGAGTTGCGGTTAAGGAACTTAAATTAAGTTGCCATACTGGGTATAGATATAAATATATATAGTAACACTTCCCCTTGATGGGAATACCCTAAACAGAACGTCCCAAGCCTCACAACGTCGCCCTCACATTTTCAGCCCTTCCAAATCGGTCCCCAGGCGGGTCCTTCCCCCTTTATCGGGATTGTAATAGGGTTCCTAATATTTAGGGCCTGAAAAGGAGAGGGTTTATTAATCATGGGTCTGCATTCATCTTGAGGTTCTAAATTGAATTCTTATGGCTTCCCCAAGATAATTACTTAAACTTACCCAGATTAGCAGCCAACTTTATTCCCATAGTAGTCCCACATATGGCCCATTAAAGTTCCCCTTGTCTTTTCTATTCCCTCATTCCCAGCTAACCAAAAGCCAATATTCCTAAGATTGGTGGATGAATTCGGCTTTCTGGTGCTTAGGAGGGAATGGGGGCGTGGATCCCTATAGTAGTCCTTATAATCCCCAATATTGATCCCTGTAATCCATGCCCCCATTCCCTCCTAAGCACCTATATATAACCCCAGTATACCAAATAGTAGTTTCCATTTTATTTTCCATTATCCCTATATAACCCCAACATAACCCTATAATCCCTATATAACCCATGATAGTAGTTTCAGGGAGTCGGGATAGCAGGCTGCTCTCCGTGGCAAGGCCTCCTTGAGGACTGTCGGAAGGCCCAGCTGTCTGAGGTGTGCCTCCAAACTCACATGGGGGTTATTATATAGGGGCTATATGGGAGCATGTAGGGTTTATGGGTTTAGGGTTTAGGGGTTTTCCTAAAGCAGGGGTACCATTTTGGGGGTCCCCATAATAGGACTATAGCATTTTGGGGACATAGTGAGGTCCCGCTATTAGGGAAACTACCACATAGCTATGGTCAAGGAAGTCTATCGCGCACACTTGCGTACAGCTTCCGGGGGGATGCAAGTAGTTTCCATTTTATTTTCCATTATCCCTATATATCCCCAATATAACCCTATAATCCCTATATAACCCATGATAGTAGTTGCAGGGAGCCCTCATCTTGTCGACGACAGATATGATTTTCCCCGAACGCAAAGTGAGAACAGAAACACAGTCTTATGTTAGCGGGGGCGAACACCCGGCCTCCCCCTCTTGAAAATCCCTAGCACTAGCAGGTCAAGTGCAAGGGTTTACAATCCCTTTGCGCCACTCTCCTTGCAAAGATGAGTGTCAACCATTTGTTAAACCAGCCCTGTCCCCCAAAACCCAAGTAGTTTCCATGTTCTTTTCCATTATCCCTATGTATCCCCAATATAACCCTATAGTCCCTATATAACCCATGATAGTAGTTTCAGGGAGAACCCAAGCTCCAACCTCGATGGAATGCGGAAGGCTGGCAAGGGCATCGGTGCCTGAAGAAACCAGAACGAAATCTGGGCAGGGAGGTGAGAGATGAACCCGGAATGTACACACCGTCCCGCAAGCCTGGCCTTTTGGTAGAATTACCGTGTCTGTTGCGAGCGATCCACTCCGGGCAAAATCCTCGGTCGCCATTTCAGTTGCACTCAGTCAAGTCTTGCATCATGTTGCATCCGCAGCCGAATACGTTGAAGACTGAGGCAGCCTCGCTGGGGCGATAGCCGGCAAAAGCAGACTCCACCTGCACCGAAACCACATGAGCAACAGGATGCAGGCTGTCCCTGCCGGAGCGGCACAAGGCACCTCTTCAGGGGTGGAGTTTGTGAAGAGCAAAGCCTTCAGTCAGACGCATCCTCTCTTAATGGCACAGGCTGCAGTGTCTGCCAACTGAGCCCTCAGCACAATGCCCATTAATCATCTCAGCAATCTTGTGCACGTTGTCCTGGTACACGCACACATGAAAACGTCTGCCAGCACGCAAGCTTGGCAGAACACTCCTGGCACTCGCTTTCCGGACTCAAACCCAGAGCAGTCTGCATGACCTGCAGCCGTGACACGGGTACATGGCACGGGGGGCACTTTAGCTGTGTGGCCTTGTTCTTGGCACATACAAGCTTCCCTGGTCGGAGACGTCTTCTTATCTCCTGTCTACAAGTACCATGCCCATGAAGGCAATTCACCCGAACAAGTGGGTCAGGTAGCTTTGTAAGCAGCAGCGTCCTGCATAAACTGGTTGCGCTCATTCTCGATGGAAACCAAGAATAGCCTGGCAAACTTCTCGCAAGACCTGCAGCAGGGCAGCCGCTCTATATTGGGATAATGGAAAAGAAAATGGAAACTGCTATAATGGGTTATGTAGGGTATAATATTCGGGTTTATAGTGGGATAATGGAAAAGAAAATGGAAACTATTAGGGTTAAAAAGTAGGAAATGGATTGCGGACTGCATTCTGCAACACGTCTCGGCAAGAGGCTCATGGATGACTTCAATGAGTTCGTCTTTCTTCTCCTGCGTATGATGATAGTCACTTGAACCATAGTCTAAATTCCTAGTATACCCCTGAATAACCCCTATAGTAGTCCCCTATATAATAGACTAAAGCTCATATACTATTCTAATTTTCAATGCACCCGAGATCATCCCCATAAATGCCTCTGCAGCGAAGAGCACATAGAATACGAACAATTGTAAACAGGCACGAATCCACAAGCTTTACCGGAACCAGTAGGGCAATCGCTTGGGAGCCTGAAAATGAGGCAGTTCAAACTTCAATGCAGCGTACAGCCTTTGGTCGCTTCTTGACCTTCGTCAAGGTGATAACTTTGTTTCTCTTGGACCTCTGCCAACATGAGGCCAAACAGCTGAGGCTTCCAAGGCATGTCATGTGAGCTAAAATCTAAACTCCTAGTATCCCCCTTGTAATACATCCTTATTCAATCCCTGTATAACCCTCAGAGTTTCGACTATGGCTCATGTGGCAACCAAGTGTGTCAAAAAAAATGCTTGTAGATACGGCTTCATGCATTATACCTACAACCAGCAGAGAAGGCACTGTACGCGGAAAGTCCATTTTAGGTCAGAAATTGCCTGGAGAGGTGAGAGTCTTTGGGTGGACTGTGAGATCGGAAAATTCATCCGCAATTAGGCTGAGGCCAGCTGCGCATGCGTGGACTTCTGTACAGATTCCCAGACTCGCCATGACCATACTAATACTAGTGACAATACGAATAACAACAATTATACTGATGGTAGTAACCATGCTTATTCATAAAACGGACGAGGTTAAGTTGTGTTAAACAATAGTAAAGCAGTAATACTAATAGTAGTAACAGGAATGATAAAAGTAGTAATAATAATAACAATAATCATAGTAATAGTAGGAATATTAATATGACTAATAATAACAATAGTAATAATGGTAGTAATAACAATAATAACAGTACTGATAATAACAGTAATAGTAGTAACAATAGTTATAGTAACAATATAACACTAATAGTAATAGCAATGTTGTGTTGCAAACTACGGTCCCTCAGCTTGGGGCTTTATCGGCATCGTTTTGCTCACTGTGCATGGTCTTGCAGCGAGTAGCCAGGATCACATTAAACACTATCCTGACCTTTCCCTCGGTTCAGCCCTCTGCGGCTCATGGGATAGCCAGGTCTTTCTCAACCTTAAATTTCTTCATCAACTCCTTCACCTTGCCGGACTTCTTCGCCTCACGCAAGCAAATGCTTGATCAAATCAAGTCCCTAAACCCTAAACGTCTTGGTAGAGGTTTCTGAAAGGCTCTTGGGCCGCTGAGCCTCCTCAACGAACTGAGAGAGCAGCTTGAAACCCTGCTCACGGCCTCACTTGCACGTGCAAAGGGTTTAGGGGTTTAGTGGTTTAGGGTTTTAGAGGCCTAGGGGTTTAGGGTTATGTGTTTAGGATTTAGGGTTTTTAGGGTTTAGGGTGCAAAGCTGACACACTTCCAGGTGTTTTCTAAAATCTTGACCTAGTATTACGATTATTACTATTATTTCTACTATTACTATTATTACTATGACTATTGTTATGATTATTCCTATTATTACTCTTATTACTATGATTATTGCTATTACTATTATTATTACTATGGGGTTCCTATTATTACTCTTATTACTATGATTATTGCTATTACTATTATTATTACTATGGGGTCCCGCCTTTCTTCGTAGCTGCTGCCTGCTCGACGGCCATGAACTTGCCCGGAAGAAGCCTTGTGCCTTCCAGACCACTCTCAGCTCCGGCCCACACAAACAGCTGGATAACAAGTATAATACATATGGGGGTTCCCCAAAATTAGGGGTACCTTTTTGGGGGCCCCTATAATAAGGACTATAGTATATTGGGATCTAGAAGGGGAACCCGAATTTTGGGAAACAACCATATACAAAGCCCTTAATATTACCCCTCTAGACTATTACTCATTGAGAAGAGAGCCACCAAAGCTAGAGAGGATCAGCGGGGCTAGTAGCCGTCTGGGTCATGTTGAGGCTTCTGAATTCCGTACCCCCCCCCCCTTAGCGCAAAGCCTCAAGGTAGGCCTACAAGCCCATGCCGTTGGAAGCTTGCGATGACATAGTATTAGTATTACTATCATTACTATGATTATTGTTATTATTTTTATGTTATTATAATTATTACTATTATTATTGTTGTTACCATTTCTTGGGCAATAGTCTTTGCAATGCTGGGTACTTGTAGGACTCCACGAAATGACAACAAAGAAGCTTGCTCTGGCATTGTTGGCGGGCTTTCGAGTGGGGCAAGGCAGTTAGTGGGCGCCCCCCACTCCCAGCAAACAAACTTAACTGCAGATTTAAGTTCAACAGAGTTTGCAATGGACAACTAACGCCAAACTCCAAAAGAGCCAGTGGTCGTGATCCAGACACTTAAAGCTGAACTCCAGCGCCAAAAGTGAAAGCCTGCGAACATCTGCATACAATTAGCCGGTGACAAATCCCATGACAACGACTTCCTCTGAACGGCCTGGTCGCTGAGCTCCGTCCTTCTTCAGTTTTGGCCGAAGCCCGGCAACTGCTTCCATGGCAGTCTCCCTGAACTGTTCGTACCTTTGCGCAGGCGGGCACACTTTAAACTTCTTGTCGTGCATCTCATGATGCACGGCCCAATGACCAGCCAAGTTTCGTGGCGTCGTGACCCTTGAACTTTTGAAGGGTTGCGTTTTTGAGGTTGCGTTCCAGCCATAGAACCTTGAAACGCTCATGTCCAATGAAATTGCCACGTCTTGCATGACAGGGTCCAAGCTGAGGGCACAACATAGGCTGCCCCTTCACAACCAGCTATTCGCACACCGGCTTTGTCCGCTTCAGCACAAGTGCGAAGCCCTGAGGTGGTTGGCACAGCCTCACCGCACTCAAGTCTGAATTCGAAAAGCATGCATGTTGACACACAAGTCATGCAGCTGAGAAGCATAGGTTGCCTCGATCTGGCAGTAAGGAGCAGTGAAATCAATGAATTCGGCACGAGCAGGATCGGAACCAATCATGGCCACGTCCCACTTGTCCTCCTTCCTCAAATCTGCGCCGTTTGTGCTTACGCACTTTGCTCATGTGTAGACCTTCTCTAACCTTTGAGGCTCAGGCGCGTCATCGGCCAGCTTGTCTGCCGACTCGTAGGGGACAAACCTTTCTGAGCAAAAGGGCGCCGAGGTCATCTTATTAGAAAAGCTTTGGCAAACAGCACCGAAAGTCCTCGCTGCAAGTACGTTGTACAAGTGATGTGTCTTGCGGGTGTGCAGCAACATCCAACAATCTCCTTAGTCTAGAAGACGCCTCAACAGCCCTTTACATTACACACAGACAACACTGGCTGAGGAAGTTGCTTGCTAGACATACGAATCTTCGCATTGACTTATGGATTAAACCATCTACAAGTAATGAGTCAGAGGAGCTCCACAGGGACGCCAAGCATCTCAGCAAATGCGGCGCCCATGGAGGGTGCCAAGCCCTTTGCACAAAACACGCAGCCCAAAGAAAGAGCAGAACGAGCGCAGGGCAGAGGAAGTGAATATTATGGAATATCATGGAATATTATGGTATATTATGGCATATTATGATATATTATAGTATATTGTAGTATATTATAGTATATTATGATATATTATAGTATATTATGGCATATTATGATATATTATAGTATATTATAGTGTATTTGGTCCATCAGCTCAATCGGCCTCTGGCTCGCCGCTCGCAGACTTGCCGCTGACCAGGAGCTCATTCCGCCTTAAGCGAGGGTTCTGGAACTCCAATGAACTCGAACAGCTGCAATCAGCTTGAAGATGCTGACTCTGGCACATGTTCAGAGCAACGCGGAGTTTTCCAGTTGGAGCCATCTCCTTGCAGAAGAGAAGTGACACAATGAGTGCCTTTTTGTTCGGTTCCCGGCCTTGACCACTTCCGGCGGAGCCGCGCAGGCTGCCGCCATGATCTGGCGTGCCAGGACCCGAGTGCGGTGCATGGCTGCTTGGCTCTTGGCTTGGTGCTGGAAGCCGCAAAGGCGCTGCGGAAGAGGCTCCGGCGGTCATTTGCAAAGCTGAAAAACATTTTAAAAAAACTGGGACAGATGCGCTCCTGCAAAGTGAGGTAGAGACTGAGCAATCCTCTTAGCACACTACCAGCCGGTAGCGGAGAGAACACTGAGCAACCGACTTTGGCATGGCGCGGGACCACGGTCGAAGCTACGTTACTACCCTACTATCCAAGTTTGACCCGTGGCATCGGAATGGCAGATACAGCAGCACGTCAAGCCAACTAATTGCAGATGGTCATTGTCAGGGACTTTTTCCTGACGCATAGGCCAGGCCAAGAAGGAAGCAAATTACAAGAGTCGCGGTGTCAATTTGCAAGCTGGAGTTCTCCAGCTGCATCATGAGCAAAATGGTACATGTTTTGCACCCAGCAGGACGCTGCACTGCGGCAAAGATCTCAGCTTCGCTAGTTAGCAGCGCAGGAGCGGCCACTGGTCCGTGTGCATGAATTAACCTCACATGAAGGGCTGCACAATTAAGAAAATCAGAAATCCACCAAAGTTGCATGCTGTGGCCCAAGACACAGCTTGCTGCACCGTAGTCGTGGTGGTCGCGGTCGTCTCGTTTGAAGACGTCTCGTTTCCGGCCGCACTGGTCGAGGAGCTTGCTGAGGATGTTGATGACATCGACTCACTGGTCGTGGTTGTGGTAGTGGTTGTGGTAGTGGTTGTGGTGGTCGTTGTGGTGGTCGCTGTGGTGGTTGAGTTGTCGGACTGAGTCTCCTGACGCGCACCATGCGTTCGTTAATGTACTCGCGCACTTGAGGGACGCGAAACAACCTACGGGAAGAGCGTGCTTGTAGTTCGTTCACGGTTACAAGGGTGCATGTATTGGTTCCGTACACAGGCATGAACGGACTGCGCAAAAAAATCCTGCTACCTTGCAAGAATGTGGTGGCAAGAGCAGAGACGGATAGGCAGCCCTCTGGCAAATGTTGCCTGGACCGCATCCCAAGCTCAACAAACCTACCCACAAACCAGCACCCAGAAGGAAGAGGGTACTGCATGAGGGTACGACTGCTAAACTGCTCCCCCAATAGTCAGGGCGAACAAGGCCTGTTGGGCGTCACATCATTTCACTTTTTGAATGCGCCCAAATTGCTCGCGTAACATCACTAGAGCAGAGTTGCCAAAGCCGCGGCCTAGATGGCCTTTTAGCCTACTCAGCGACACAGCTTTGTTGCTGTTCAGGCCACGGCTTTCTTGACAAACTCAAATCAGACCATTTCGGCAAGGGGTAAGAGGTACAGTACAGGCATCATTCGGATTTGGATGTTCTGAGGCTAAGGTGTCTCAGCTTTTATGTTTAGGGCGTTCAAAGGTATTAAGCATCTTGAAGAATAGACGATCAAGGATTCAGATCTTCTTCTGAAGGTTTGAGGCTTTCTGGGACGGGTTCAGGTTCACGTGTTCTCGATGTGTTGGGGTTTAGGATTTTTCTGCGCTTTAGGTTTCAAGGTGCATTAGCATCTGGACATCGGATGTCAGCACTTCTCAATCTCAGATCTGCATGAGATCCTAAGCCCTAAACCCTTAGACTAAGGTACCGCCTGTGAAGTATACAGTAGGAATAGTAATTAACAACGATACTAATTACAAGTACTGAAGTGCTAATAATAGTGGTTATAACAATAATCGTAATAGCAAAAGTAATAACGATAGGTAGTAGATGTAGTAGCAAATAATGGTAATGATAGTAGATAACAGTAATGATAGCAGAGAATTGTAATAATAGTGAAATTGGTCCTCCACATCCTGTGAAGCATATGTGGTGTAGGACGCTGTGGATAGGCGTCGCCCTCCACTCGGCAGGACTTGTACTACAACTTCGTCAGCCAGCTCTTCAATCTCTGTATCATTCAGCTCCTCTACTTCGACCTGGAGGCCATAGTTCGGTCTACCATACACAAGCTGGCAAATCTTCCTGGTGGCATTTCTTGGTGCACCGCTGGGATGGGGCTTGAAGATGCTGCTGACATTCTCCACCTGATCTGCGATGGCATCCAGGACACTGTCCGAGCAGTTTGAGGCACTGGATTCCACCAGGACGTCCAGCAGCTTCAAATACACCAGAACGGTATCGATTCCGTCCAGTAGCGCCTGACCCAGTTTCATCACCCTGGCCACAATCCTGGGCGTCCAGAGATCACCTGATCCTACCATGTCCTCCATCGCAATTTGCGTGAGGTTATGGCAAGTCTCATTGCCAGTAGTCTCGTTGGCCATGCAGGATGCCCAGAACTCCGCAGCAGACTTGATGAAGGCGAGTCTTTGCAGCATAGCAAATGTGGCTACCTGAAGGGTGAAAACTGAAGAAAAGGCTTGTCAGCCCCATCCTGCACTAGTCTGTGCTGTTTCACCCGCCCGTGCCTTCATCCCACCCTTACGCAACTGTTCCTTGGCCTCCTCGGCACAGCTGCTTCGGGAAGTGGCATTGCACGACATCACAGCCTCGGCAACCACCTCACGCCGGTATCGCTTGACCTCCGCAAGCAAGTAGCTGTGGATTTCTAAGAATGTGCTGACAGTAATCTGCACGCAAATCATGAGGAACTTCCATCGCTGGAGCCGTCACAGAAGTAAACAAAGTAATTTTTACAGCTGAGTGCCCGGCGACATCTTTGACAGTCTCAACCAACCCAGCAACTGCCACCTTCGTGACAAGCTCACCTTCGCAGGCTGCCTTTGCAGCATCATCGACTGCAGTCTCCATGCAGGCTTGAAATCGGTCGCCAACCACCTCAACAGCAGCATCCTTCTGCGCGCGCCGCTTCATGGCCTGCTGTCTCTGCGGTGGGAGATCTTCGAAAAGAACATCACCAACCTTGTCTGCATCTTGCAGCAGCCTGTCAAGGCACATCTTGACGATTTCTTGGGAAGGCTCCTCGAGGCAGACTGTCATTGCATCCTTGTTCATGTCTTTCATGACAGCCTGCTTGATGGTCCGCGACTCTGCCTCATCTGTTTTCGGGTCACTTGACTTGTTCTCGTTGCGGGTGGACCGAAAGGCCTCAACAACACCACCGCACTCGGCACTGGCATCAGCTTGCCTTGCCGCGCTACATGCCTTGGCCACATCCAGGGCGGCATCCCGCGCACCCGCAAGGTTAAATCTCTCGACCTCCATATCGGTGATGTCCTCCTTGCGTTTGCCCATCGCTTCAGCAGCTCGCTCCCTCACGAGCTCCATGCACTCATCCCGCGGCCTTTCACAATCTCGACCAATTTCCTGGGCCTTCTTGCTGGCAGCATGGCGGAGCGCTATCTCGACCTACAGCAAAGCAGGGGCCATCAGGGGCCTTTACGGTCTAAAACACAAAGTACTCGCCACTGGTGCAGGCTAAGCTAAATGCAAAACTGAAAACAAAAGCACCTCATGGCCTGTGCAGCAGTCCAGTTTGTGCCAAGGACGTCTAAGGCAGCTTGCACGAGAACATCTTTGCAGGCTTCGCGGAGGGTTGCATTGTCACCACTGTCCTCCACACAAGCAACCATCTGATCTGAGAGTTCCTCAACGGCTTCCTGCAAGGTTTCCAACCCCATCTTGAAGTCGTCGATCTCACTGATGTTGCGGCCTGTGAGCTCTGCCCGGGCCCTTCTCGCCTGCTCTTTGCACTCAGCACGTGTCGTGATTGTGGTGTTGCATTCCTTGAGGAGCCTGTAAGCTTCCTGGCGAGCGGCCTCCTCTAAGAACTCGTAGACATCCGACTCCGTTACCGTCTCATTTGCCACGCCAAGCACCCCAGCAATCAGGTGCCGTAGCTCAGGTGACTGGAAACAGCTGTGGCTCTGGTTTGCCTCACTCAAGCAGACCGTCACTTGCTCAGCCACATCGAAGAGGACGCCATCTCTGAAAGCTTTGCGAAGGTCCTCGTCCTCGCAGCGCATCTCTCTCAAAGTCTCAATTCTTCAGGGTTCTCGTGTGCAAGCTTGAATACTTTGTTGGCATGTACACACCTTGCGGATGCCTGGCTCGGTTTCTAGTAACCTTGACAGTGCCTCGTGCCAATTTGCCACATAATCACTCTAGCATACTCAAGCCCAATGCCAAGTTCTACAAGTGGCATCGTACACTCAATCCCACATTTGGCAAATGTCCTCGATGTCTTCTGGACGCCGGCCACTGGCCGCCGCTGCGGCTTGGCGCGCATCCGTCGTCGTTTGACAAGCTCTAACTTCCGTAGGATTCGTGGCCCGGTCCACACACGCCTTGATGACGCCGTGAGCTTTTGCGTCGCCAGCCTCTCGCATGGCATCAGCAGCCTCCTCCGTAAGCTCAAAACAGTTCTGAAAACAACACATACACCCATGACACCCCTGACACAATCTTCGTACCCTCCAGAATTTTTTGGCAGACTACTTTCCTACATCTAATTCTACCCATACTAGGATGCAGGACATGAAGCGCTCCTCTCGCTTCAGTCCAGCCTCCTTTTCCAGCTTTTCTCGTGCTTGCTCTCGGCAGGACTCTCGGCTGTCAGTGCAGTTTTCGAGATCTGCCCCGATGTTGCCTGGTGGCCGTCGGGCTTCGTCGAACTTCTCTCGCGCAGCTTCTTCTATGACTTCTCTCGGCGGAGGCCTTCCCTGGTCTGAGAGCTCTTTGCGGCATTGCTCGATGCTTTTGCCAGCCCTGAGACATTCTGTTAGATCATTGCGGGCATAGGCCGCGAGACAAAGACACAGGCCGAGGATCAGCCTAGCCATGGCTGAAACCCCAAAGCTATCACTTCCAAAATTTAAGCTATCAAACAGTTGGGCCTGTATCTTCCAGCAATCATTGGCCAAGCTTTTCCCAAAAAAAGGCTCACTGAAGTGTACGCAGGGGGAAGCCTTTTATGTCTCAGATTGCGGTTGGATCTCCAACAGCATTGCAACAGCAACAACAGCATCAACTGCAACGTCGAACACTGGTCAGACGCCCAGCAACGCGTTGTGGTATGCTGCCAGACCTGCATTGGAGCATCGTAGCACTCTACATTCCAAATGGTCAGACGAAAAGGCAAAGCACAAAGCCCGACGAAGCCTATGGAGGTCTCTCCTTCGCCGCCCTTCACCTCATGCAGTCCGAAACAGCGATGAGCCCTCAAGCCCAGATAGGGCTGGCCTCAGTGCCGGGACCCTCAGGTTCCAGATCGCCTTTGCAGCATGCAAGGCATCCCTCGCAGCATGCGCAGAGAACTGTAGGAAAGCAGCGAGCAAAAACAGATGCCTGAAGGCTGATCCGGGGCTTTCTCGTCGGCTCCACGGCGTGGCCTCCGCCTCTGCCGCTTCCAGGGAGCCTCCGCAGCATGTGCTCACTCCAGGCAAGAATTCTGCAAGCAATTCGCAGGGCCATGCGCCTCAAGATCATCAGCACCATCAGCTCCCTGAAGCAGATGCGACTGGACATGACGCTGGCAAGGTAACGGTAATGGGTCAGCGCCTCAGGATCCTCACCAGAGGCCACCTGCGCATGCAAGGCACAGAAAATCAGACAGGTCTCCCGAAGGCCCGCTCAATCATTGCACATCATTGAAGGAGGCGAATTTTTTGGCACTGTCTGATGCAGGGCTCGGATCACGTCATCATGCGGCCAACACACGCGCAGAAATGTGAAACCGCTGCTTGCTTCAATGAGCAAGACCTACAACTTAAACGACCTACACGATCTACAGAGCACAAAATGCACTATCACTTTCGGGGTGGGGGCGTGTACGGCGCATACCGAACCACAGCCCTCAAGCAATCGCCGCTGTGCAAAGCCTCGATAGCTTGCTTCTGACCTCCATGACGACAGGAAAATTACAAGGTATGGACATCATGAGAAAGACATGCTGTTTCATCTTAATGGAGAGCCTGCCATACCTTCAAATCTGTGAGTGATGAAGTGATCGAGCGCAATCTCGCCCTTCATCGCCTCACGCATTTTCACATCGCATGATGGCTCACAAGGAAATCTAGTTGACCATGTCCCACCCAACTTCTGAGGAGAACAGCCTTGTCCACGAGCATGGGAATGGCGTCCCGAGTCTTCCAGCCACCAAAGGCGGTGCCCAGCCAACGGCGTCCAGTGACCAGCTGGAAGGGTCGTGTTGCAAGCTCCTTGCCTCCACACACAGTCACGTTCCAAGCTAAAAAAAATTATTCCGTTCTGTAAGGCACCCGCCGGAAGCTGCTACGCCGATCACACAGCTCTGCCCCCACCCTCTGTGGGAGGCCTTTGCGCAGACTCAACACAAATCACGTAGTGTGTCAAATGCCCACTCAACGGTCGGAACCTCCAAGCAAGCTCGCATGACATCAACGTTGCCAGTGCAGTCGAACGTGTAGTCGTAGCCAAACTTTGTCGGGCTCATCTCAACCAGGACCTCCAACAGGCTCAGGCAGCGGTAAGTCTTACAATGTCTTAGAGCACAATACATGCTCCTGCCACTTGCTAAGGCAAGTGGTTTCGGCGTGTTGGGCAAGCGTGTTCTGTCAACGGACCTGATACATAGTTCTTCCCACCCCAGCCATCACTGACTGACTTGGGTGTTGCGGTAGGCCAGCCCGTTGGACCTTTGTCTCACCCAAGCCCAAAACCCTGGCACCCAAAAAAAAACAAAAAGGAAAAGGAAGCATGTGCGAACGATGCTGATATTTTGGGAGATGCGCGCAGCGACATGCCCTGTTGCATCATTGTGCTTACGGCAATCCTCAAGGCCCCCTCAAGGCCCCTTGCAGCAGCGGGTGCAGGAAGCCCGAGGCCTTATACATTCGACGACCCGCCTGTCTCCCGCCTCATGCTGGGACTGTGGGCCTTTGCGACACAAGCACCACCTGCCCGTTTAGCACCTGATCGTTGAGCCTTCTTAGCATATCATGCGGAGGCGTCTCTGTAGACCGCAGCGCAGTTATTATGCGCAGGTCCAAGAATCTAAGAACGAAGCACATCTTTGGATTGAAGTCTGATGCGCGGGCTTGTGGAAGTTGGGCAAGAGCCAGAAGGCACTTGAAGCGGCAGGGAACGTGATAGGTTCGGCCAAATCTGACGTGAGGATTCAAGACTTGGGATGTGTAACACGTGATGCGACCATGCTGCAGGTTACCGGAGATTTTCCGGCTATATGGTACAAGCAGGTTAGTAGAAAATAAGAAGGCAGTGGCAGAAGGATCGCGGACACACAGCAACAGCTACTGTCAGGAGGTTTTGTGGGCGATGAGTGTATCAACAACACTTCTCACGAAACCTAAAACCAAGCAAGCTCCACTGGCAGCCCGAGCTCAGTGGGTGAGGCTCGCGTCACACCGTCTAACAAAGAAAGCATTTGGCAAAACTCTAGCCTGCTGAATTGGCTTATCATAGTCCTTCGGGTTCACGCAGTCCGTGCAGCCCAACCTCAAGTGCGGCCGAAGCTGATACATACCATGATCTTTCAAAACCGCGAGCAAAAACTCCTTTGAGCACGGATGCAAGGATCCCAACACTTGATTAGACGAGCAGCTGCTTGGCAATCTCGAACTTCTTCGGGTTCGTGTCGACTCCAACAATCTTTGTGCAGTTCAAGGCTTTGGCGCCTTGAACAACTGCCAGACCGACAGCTCCCAAGCCGAAGACGACCACTGTCGAGAAAGGCTCAACCTGATCAGAATGGCAACAGCAATAACAAGAATATTCTATCATAGTAATACTAATACTATTAATTAGAATATTGTAGGAGTAGCAATAGTGACTATAATGACAAGGCAAACTTTTGAAAGCCTTTGAAACCCTTTGACTCTTCTTGACCTGCCTTGGCACTGTTCCACACGGCGCCCAATCCAGTCGCAATGCCGCAGCCGAAAAGACACATCCTGAAGCTACTATAGTATATAGGGGTTATATTGGGATAATGGAAAAGAAAATGGAAACTACTATAATGGGTTATATAGGGATTATCAGGGATTCTATTGGGGTTAGCTTGGGACAATGGAAAATAAAATGGAAACTACTATAGTATATCTTAGCTTTTGCAATTGGCCAGACACGCTTTTGACACACGTCAAGCTATTCGAGCTGCTTTTGCAAAGCCAGGATTCTTCTCCAGGTCTGCTTCTGGATTGATTTTCGCGCAGGAGATTTCTGCGAGTACTGTGTACTCGGCAAACCTTGATGCCGCAAAGGCATGCTAATGTGCAACAGAATGAAGCCAACTAATCCCAGGCACGTCGAGCAGCCCATGAAGTGATACAAAGTCGTGCCATCCTGCTGATGACATGGCATGGATCAGCAAGAATGTCAAGAACAAGATCGTCCCTCCTTCTTGAGGGTAAACCTGGATGTGCCATCAGGCATGACTCCCTTGCCCTGCGTGCCGCGGATCTTGGGGCACAGGTTGGTCTTGGGGCTCATGCAGAAGATGCAGTCGGAGCCCTGCAAACCAGGTGGACATGAAATGGATGTGGATGGCACAATTACTCAAACAAAAGAGGTGCCTTGCACTGTGGCGTATATCCAGGCACGATGTGGTCACCAGGTTTCACGGACTGCACACCCTCACCGACGGACTCAACAATGGCTCCAGCCTGGGGCACTCAAATGAGCCACAATCTAAACTCCTAGTATCCCCCTAATAACCCCTATAGCCTATAGTACTCTCCTATGTAGTCCCCCATATAACCTCCCTTTGAGGAGTTTAGACTACCGCTCAAATGCACTCAATACCAAGCAATGCATGGGGAGCAGTTGAAAAAAGCTCCGAAAATGCGGGGCCGAACCCTGCCTCGTGGCCAAGGATGGAGGGGAAAAGGCCTTCTGGATCCTGACCACTGAGCCTGAGCTCTGCAATCCACAAGCGAGCCCAGAGATCCCCCAGGGCTTAGGGTTTATGTAGAAAACAGTGGTTATATAGAGATAAAAGAAAATGGAAACTACCATTTAGGGTTTAGGGTTCAGGGTTAAATCCCTCCCCCTAACATTAAAATCCCCTCCACCCCCCTAATATTCAATACTACCCATTGCGGTATATCATAGTATAGTGGGGCCCAGAATAACCTTCTGAAGGCAAGGCGCGTATAGATGTCAGTGTGGCAAAGGGCATTGCCTCAAGCTGGCATGATGCTCAGAGGGGCATCCAAACACAATATCCACACGAAATGATCAGCAACAAGCTACGGCAAGCCTTGCAGACGAGGCTCAGATCACCTTAACGCGGACCTCGCCCGCTTTGGGAGGGGCAACCAGAATTTCCTGCTTCAACAACAGCATCGAAAATGCTGGCTTCTGACTGTGGTTGTACTTGCTCTTGGCTGCCAGTGTCCTCCTCTCGTAAGTCATTCACACCAAAGGCAACCATTGCTTTACAAGTGATCGGCTTGCCCGCCGTGTCCGCCATGCTTCTTGAAGGCTCCCACCACAAGCGGCAACTGTTAGGTTCAGAGCCGAGACTTGCGGGACGTGCATCTGTCAGTCTTCAATGACTTCACAAAACGAGCACCAGCAACATCGCGCGACTGTTGGAGGCACCTTGCGCTTTTGCAGGGTACCACCCAAGGCCTAGAACCATGGAATCGCTCAGACAACTGGCCATGACCAGCGGTTTCACAGGCACACTTGGGGTTTAGCAAAGAGTGTGTGAGCACTGAGCGTCGGTGCGGCTGTTGATGCAGGAGGTGGCGGCGTGATTGGTGTCTCAGCTGGTCATCAACGAAAAAGGCCACACAAATCAACCTCCGTTGAACCTGTGAAGTCTCTGAAGATCGTGGCTTGCTGACGAGCAGCCTGTGCCGGTGGCCTCAGCGCCTGAGGTGGCAATGGCGGGCACGGGGCTGCCTTGGTAGCGGCAGCGAAGGATCCGAGAACACCTTCTCTCATGCCTCTGGTTCCCTTCTTGGCGCTCTGTCGAACTTAGCTTTACCAACTCTGGGTCTGCTGCCGCACCGGGCGGCGCCAAGATCTGCCTGGGCGCTTCGAACCTGTCAATGGATCGCTGTCACCCTCTGAGAGCAGGGGACGAGCAAAATGTCAGCATTCAGCAGCGCACGCCACACGAGCCGCGCTGCTCATGGCAGGATCGACCTCGGAAGGATCAAAACAAGATTTTGTCTGCTCGTGAAACATCATTTTAAAAAAGGCCCAAGCTGCCTCAGCACGAGCCAGTCCTCTGAACAGGGGCAGGAGATGAGGCCCCTTGGAGACGTGTTAGCCCTATGCCCTTTGACACTGATACAATTTAGACCCTCGCGCCCAAATTGCCTGCATGTTTCTTTCATCGCAGTTTCCTGTGAACCCTGTCATGAATCTCCTGCAAAGTGAAGCAGATCCTCAGGGGCTGCCCAGAATTTTCCTTGAACTACCCCATATACCCCATATTCTATCTACTTAAGGGGGACTATAGTGACTTCGCAGCCTGAAAAGGAATCCTGAAAGCTGCGCATTCCGTTGTTGGCTTTGCTGCAGCAAGCCTTCCAGGGGCTGGCGACAATCAGACGAAAAACATTAATGATAATACTAAATAGTGATAATAATGATAATAATCAAGTCTAACAGCGATTCAGCAACAGCGGCAAAGTGGGATGGGACCTTGCATCTGTATAAGAAGCTGCATCAGCTCCTTGCAAAGCGCAAAGCAGCTGTTCTCGACAGCTTCTCTTGCAGCTTTTCTGCTGCTGCCTGATTCTCCCGCTCAAGCCTCTCCATACGGCTCATGACCTTAACATCTGCCAGCATGTTGCAAAAATTCAATGCTGAAATGACCAGCAAGGGATTCTTCAACAGCTGATCTGCTGATCTTCCCTGGGTCCCGGACCATCTGGAAAGCCTCCAGCTGCCTTCCCGAGAGACCTCGCATAGCCTCCACAAAGGTTCCATCCATAGTGGCATCCATGCAATGTGAAACTGCTTCGGAGACTCCTCAATCCCACTTTTCCAATTTTCTGCAGTGTCTTGCGTGTGCTGAGACAACATGCCGGCGTGTTACCAGCTTGTTTACTGTCCACGACTGACTGAAGTAAGCTTTGCCTGGACATAGCATAAGAGATTCAGCATGTCTTTTGCGGATCCCTTGCAGCAGCATGGCAACAAGCGCAAGTTTCGCATCGCCCAATATGCTGCTCAGTGGTTGCAGTCCAGGTAGCACTGGCTTCTGGCGACCTGGAAGGAACCGAATAATATTAATAATAATACTTATTAATTATCAATAATCATAATGATACTCATTATAATAAGTAGTGGCCTTTAATGAGAATAATGAAAATAATCACTGAAAGAGTCACATGGGTTTGCCCGAGGCCGGAGCATCTATCAAGCTCAGCAGGTTCTTGCAGGCCACAAGTGCTGCCACAGTTGTCAAGGAAACCCCTCTATAATGGCATATTATAATATATTAATATATATTATAATATATTATAGTCTATTATAGTATATCATCATAAATTATAGTCTATTTAGTATATTATAGCAGTAGGATATTACACTCTACTGGGCTCATGACAGCCTGCAGATGCTTTAATCAGCGACTGCCGGATATACCATGTCGTGGCAGCTCACGGAAGCTATGGAAATACATATTACTACCATTATTGTTACTATTGCTACTATGTCTGCCAATTGTTACTATTATTACTATTACTGTTGTTACCATTATTGTTTCTATTGCTACTATGTCTGCCAATTATAACCATTATTACTCCCAACACCATCTGACAAGGCCCAAAACATGCAAAGCACGCCTTTCGATGGGCCTGACTCAGCAAAATGTGTCAATGCTTGTGTTCAGAGCACTTGGTCAGTCATATAAGGGTTTCCCAAAGTTACGGGTACCTTTTTGAGGGTCCCTATAATAGGGCCCATGGTGTATTGGGTCTACATTGGGTTCCCTGATTTTGGGAAACTGCCATATGCTGAGCAGGAAACATTCCCGAGACGTCGCCCTGCACCATCGGCACAAGATGCGTCGCAAGCCGAACACAGCAAGTGCTGGTCATGCTCCAACATGTTGCAAGATTATTTATCCATCAAGGCTTCAGTGCCTCAGGCTTTCAAACAAAAAAAGAGGCTTAGGCCAGCCACCCACACCACACCACTCATGTTGCAAAAAGATCTGAACAATCAGGCCAGCTTTAGCCAACAATTTGCGACTCTGCCAGAAGATGCGTAGTTCCGAAAATGATGCGCCTTTTTTGGTTGTAGGCTAAATTACCACCTAATTTTCGGGGCACCTTAAAATGGAACCATTATTTTGGGGAACTCTCCAGATGCTACATCACGCAAAGGGCCAAAGTTGCCGTTTTGAGGCGAGCAGAACAAGCGTCAGAACAAACTGGCCCCAAAAGGTCCTAACAAGCAAGCATGCAAACTGCCCCAAGGACCATCGCCTGTGCCTCGAACTGACAACACAGGCTGATCAAGCTGTAGCCTTCCCTTGTCAAGCATACCCTGTTCAGGTTCGGTCCACGACTACTGGTGAATGCCCCCCGCATTTACAGCATGTTTGCTGGCAAATTGGGAGATTGGGTTGGCTGAACCACCAGCACCGGAAACGCTGCTTGTTGAATTTGCGGATTGCCCGGCAGCATGACACAGGGCAGTGGGTCGCGCCATTCCTGGATTCTGCCGGGTTCACCCCCATGCTGTCTGGTCTCGTCCAATCACTTATCCTATCCATTGGAACCGAAGTTGCCATAGCCGCCGCACACCGTCGAGGCCTCGTCATCCTCTGCTCAATGAGCAGCGTTGGCCTTCGCACAAGCCTACCCTGCCGAATAACATTAAACGCCCATCCTGATGAACACGTTCTGCTCCTTTCGTACCATTGAAAGCATCCGTTCCTCTGCTCTGATAGAGTTTATCTTGTCATCTGGGATTACAAGTCGATCGCCGTCCTGTTGCATGCATACTGCCCGCTGGCCTTCTGAAACTTCATACCTCTATGATAGGTGGACCGCTCATCCAGTAATAGTCACTATAATGCCTATAAGGGACAATGGTAATTTTATTAGCGTCCTCTTATAGTCCTATTATACAACTATTACAAGGCTGGGGGGTCCACCTAACCTCTACCAAACATGCTTCCGACTTCTTGGCCACCAAACAGACTGCCAGGTGGGAGCTCAGCTGCTTTTTATTGTCATTATAATGGGTTTATAACCTTTAGAGGGCCCTTGGAGGGGGTATGTTTCAGGGGTATGTTCTAATTTCCTTTGATTTTCAAGTTCAACCGCTACAATTCACTACAAGTAACAGCATTGTAGCGGCAGCCATGCTTTTGACCCAAAGCGGCCAGACAAAAAGAAGCAAAACCATCACCAGGAAGGCCTGGTTCCTTCAACTGCCGGGTGGGTTTTGAATCGATTGGAAAGTCTGCTGTGGGAGTCCGAGACATCCCAAGCTTCAAGTTGGACAAGATGATAAGAAAGTGGATCCCCCGGCCAGGAAGCAGAAAAGGTCGAATGGGGAGATGATCCCTTGAATTCATGGGTTCCCCTACTTCCCCCCTCTATACTCCCCCCTAGGTTTCCCCTTGAATCAAATTATGTTGGCGTAATTAGGCCTAATTAGAGTTAATTTTGGGGGAACCTAGGGAGGGCAGTATAGAGGGGGGTAGTAGAATCAGCAAAACACCCCTGCTTAAGCGAGAACCGTAAAAGCCCCGCACACTGTTTTTGGGAGACCCTTCTGCATGGAAAGCCCTCAAGACACATGAGCTCTAGTCTAAACTCCCACTATCCCCCAACCCCTGGTAGGCCCTCAAGACTTTTGAGCTCTAGTCTAAACTCCCAGTATCCCCCAACCCCTGCATCCTCGAACTCCAAAACGCCAAACACACAGCCGAAGCCTGAAAGCCGTCCAAGTACGGAACACTAGTGAGCCATAGTCTAAACTCCTGGTATCCCCCTTAATATCCCCTATAGTAATCCCCTATATAATCCCCCATATAACCCCCCTTTAAGGAGTTTAGAATATAGCTCAGTATCTGCAACTCCCCTGCATCGTAAGAGCGATATCGGAGGCTTTGTTTTCAATGACAAGCCGCTCAGAACATTTGGAACATATGCATGTGTTTTTTGTAGTTTCGCTCTCGATCTTTTTGCGCATTGTCTGACTCGCGGCTCCTTGCTCTTACGGTTGAATACTTCCAGCATCAACCCACTGCATTTTGACTCCATTTCCTTCATGAACAGGTTTCCGGCCTACCCCACATAGCTAAACTGCTAAACACATACGACCTCCGAATGCATTTCAATGCATCCGCCTTCTAAACCTGGTGGCCGAGGCGGACATGCTGGGCATCTACAACTACACTGTCCAAGCCATTCGAAACGTTCGAAACCACATGTTGCCTGGAGCAATCCCGAACGCAACGGATCGTGAGGCACAACTTTCTGTCGGCATTCTCCTGCCCCAGGCAGTTGCCAAGCATTGCCCCACAAATATGGCATGTGACAACAAAGCTTGACGCAACAAAGTTTGGTGCAGGGACTGTCGCAAAACTGCCATGTTTCAGGCCTGTAAACAGCCTGTACCTGTCTGTCCTGTCTGTCATACGCTAAACCATGCTAAACCAACTCTCTAGGTCTTCTTAGCACTATCTCACAATGGTCAGGCACGGAAAAGGGTTCCAAAGGCACATCAGAAAGGTGTGAGCTGATTTCGACTCGCACAATAACAGAGTTTGCAGGATAGTCCAGTTGCAGAAGGTGCTGGCCTCTTGGATGACCCCTGAGTAACAGCGGCTCATGCAGCCTGGCATAGTGCATTTGCTGATCCCCTGGAGACGTGAGAAAGCGCTCGGGCCACCGTACATCTCCGATGGGTCGCACTTGACCTCACAGCCATCTACTTATAAGTTAAGGAGAGCAAAGTAATCCAATAGGCTACTTGGGGCCATGCCAAGCCCGGATAGCGGATGTCCAGGGGAATGTCTCGGGTGCTCGGTGTATCCTCTCTGACTGGCACAAAACACGGTGAAATGCGCTGAATGGCTTAGGTTCTATTCCTGTAGAAGACACTGACATGGCGCTACGTAGGTTGGCTGTTTGGCTCCCTTCACAGCATCTCCAGAAGTTCCTGCGAGGTTGCTGTCTGAAGAAAGCAGATCGCAGGCAGCAGCGCCCACATAAGGGGCGGCATCCGGTCGCATCGCGCGGCTAAAATGTGGGAAACGTTGAGTCGTGCTGACTGCAGTAGAGTTGCAGTAGCATGTCTGAGCAAATAGATTCTGCTAGCCACCGTGCTTGTTCAGCGGCCTAACTTGTTGCATGTGGCTTGCCAACAGCCCTGCCACCAAATGGCTGCTTCAGCTCAAGAGATATGCGAAACAGCAACGGGTAGCATCGTCAAGGTGCGCTCTCAGACTTCGTCCCCATCGCCTCTGCAGGAGTCAACTGCCGGTCAAAGTTGTCCGAACCTGCTGCTTTTGCCTGTCGGGTGCAAGGACGTCAAACTCTTGGAAAGCAACTACAGCCGCGGTAGCCAGCTCAGAGAACGGGTCCAAATGCGAAACCTCAATGTAAAGTGATGTTTAGAAGTTGCGTACTCTCTTCAGCCTCCGATTTTGCGGAGGCTTTCGGCACGGGCTTCGGCGGAGCCTTGGCAGGGTCCCTCACAAAAGCCCAAACACACAGAAATAATTTCAACTTGCATTGCTTGTCAGTCTTGCAAGACGGGGGACGTATTGCTTTGTTGGCTGATTGATCTTCAGCTGGCTGACCTGCACAGACACTTACAGAAGAACTCACAAACCCAAGTCTGCAGCTTCAAGCTTGAGGCTATCACAGCTGGCGCTGCAGCTTTCGGTCTGGTGGGCCTCAGCTGACGTGCGCAGCGTGTGCTCCTGTACTTGCTTCCTCTCATCAAATTTTCTGAAACCAAAAGCTTCTTGAGAGGTGCGCAGAGGCTTGCCCAGGGTTTTGGCCTTGAATTCCTGGACAAGATTTATGCAACCTGTTTTGGCTCCGCTTTTCTTTGGATAGGCGCTCGGTGACTTAATTACCGGGAGTTGCGCAGGGCTTGTGACACAACGCCCTGAGAACGCCAGCATTGCTGCATTGTGATAGCAGCCCCGGCCGCGGGCCCTTCGAAGTAAAAACGACATGGAAACTACCAGCTTATTCAGGTTTTAGGGGTTTTTTTTTTGAGCGCCTCTTTTGCTCTCTGCCGAACAAAGGGTCCACTAGGCCCAGGCGCAAAACAGAAATCCTCAGGCACCTGATGTATCACCGGCCTCAAGCATCAACCTGTTGGCCAAAAAGGCTTCAAGCACATGACTCCCGTACAATCGCTGTATCTGTTCGGCACTAAAGCCTCCAGAAGCCCATGCGCGGAAAACACTCAACCCTTCTTCTCCTAACATGAAAGCTGTCAACTCGCTTTCAGCGATATGACCAGGCCCCTGTTGTGCACTCATGCTCTCACTTGCCCCCTCAGGTGTCACCGGACTGATCCGCTCCGTCGATGCTTGGCTCCCACTCGCTCTAGTTCCACCACCCCCTTGCTCCACCGGCACCATTTCCTCCACCACTGTCCAGGTCATGCCCAGCATCACCGGCTTGTCAGGTTGCAACTCCATGTCGAAACGTGCCGCCTTTGTGGCATCTCCCTGAACTTGTAGGTGCAAGATCATCTTCTGCTTCTTCACTGGTCTTTCCCTGGTAGGAGTTGTCGGATTCATTGAGCTCCAGAGCACCCAGTCGTCCCAGTCCTGAGCGTACTGGGCTTGCAGGCTTTCGTAGTGGGCCGCATCCTCGCTTTCCTGTTGCTCACGTTCCAGCTCGTAGTCCTGGATGTCCTTTTGCAGCTTGGCTCGGTCCCACGCCTGCATCTCCCGCTCTTCTTCCAGCTGCCTTCGGATTTCCAGTTCATCCTGCACCATTTTGTCCACCGGCTCCACTGCATCACTCGCATTCTTGTCTGGCCTCTCCCTCTCCAGGGACTCCTCAACCGTTTCCGGCCAGCACCTTTGCCTTTGTCGCACGGAGCTGCTTCTCCTCTTCCATGATGGGTGTCAGGAGTCTTCGCCACCACTTCTCACACCACACCCTGTCCGCTTCATTTTCCGGCACATCGTTGTCAAGTTCTGAGCTGCTATCATCAAAGGCAACTACCGCCGCCTCCGATGCCATCGCCCTCATCCCCATAGCTAGCCTGCCCGTCGTGCAGCCATACCTTCTGGCCAGGAGTCCACGAAGTAGCGAGGACCTAACCCTTGCCCTGTCCACGTCCATCACCGAAAACTCATCAGTCAGGAATCGGAGCTCCAAGCCAAAGCTTGAGATCCCCGCATCCGCAACAGGGACCACACGAGAAGCCTGCATGAGGTTGGTTTCATCACCCTCTGGTCGCCTTGCGCCTTCCTCTCTTGCCCTTGTAATTCTCCTCTGCGCAATCTCTGCCACTTGTGCCATCACCAAGCTCAGGAACTGCTGATGAGCAGCCAACAGAATACTCACATCTTCCGCTGGCCACTCTTCGATAGTATCCCTGACTCGATCCAGCGCCCATGAGGAGTAGCCGAGCCCGCCTTCATCCTCCATATCGAGGAATTCCCGCCAAAGCTGCATGGCATTCTCGACGGTAAACGGCTCCGCGTCTGGCCTTGCTCCCGATGCGCTGGACGCGTGCTCCTGCTCATCCTCCACTTCCACCACTTCCTCTTCCATATTGCCCTCCGTACCCTCATCCGCTTGCCATTCCTTGCATCCACTGGACGTCCAAATGGTGTACGGTCTTGGCCTGGGCTTCGCCTTTGGGCCTCTTTTGTCTTTGTTCTTGCCCTTCCCTTTGGACCTGGAAGGCGACGACCCACGCCAGTGTTCATTCTTTTTCTCTCTGCGCCGCCGCCGGTGCCAACCATCATCATTACTCCTTGTCAGCCACCTGTCCCGCACTGTATAGGATCTTCTCCAGGGTGGAATCTCGGTGTCCCACGCCATCAGCATCACTCCATCACTTTCGTCTTCACCATTCGCAGTGTTTTGCCCGTCTCCGTGTGGAAGGGCAGCGCCCTGATCGTTGCCTCCATGTTGTACCGGGCATTCTTGACCCTCCGCTCGCTCAAGTGCACTTCCCTGATCATTTCCTCCATCATGATGTTCCGCTGGGCCCGGGCCGTCATCTTGTTGTACCGGTAGTTCAGGATGTACCGGTAGTTCCGGATCTGCGCCTCCATGTAGATCATCTTCAGACATTTTGCTACCCACGGCCCCTTGGAGCTCTCGCGACTTGGTGAGGCTGCCTCCTCACTGGTTGTGTCCACGGCTCCCCCTGGCAAAGCTGTTCCCACCTCATCATCCTCAGCGGCTTCCATGTTCTCAATGGCCACCTCGTCCAAGGAGAACCCCTCCGGGGAGCTTGGAGCCCCGTTTTGCAACGGCTCCAGGTTGTTGCCTGGTTCCTCATCATCATCAGACAAGGCGTTTTGCAACGGCTCCGGGCTATCGCCTGGGTCCTCATCCGACAAGGAATCCATTCCTTGTTCTCCTTCTTGCGGTAGTCTATCCACATCCCTTGCTGGATCCATGTCAGACGGGTCCTCCACAAGTTGATTCATCAGCCTTCTGCGTTTGTACCTCCTGGACGCCGCTCTACATGCCACCCTCAGTCTTGCCCACCAATTCCACACCCATTCACCATTATCATTGGTGTGAACATTCTGGAGGTGTCTCATAGCCGCAAACCAGGCCTCCTGAACATGTTGTACACGTTCACTGGCCCTCCGTAGACTTGGCAGCCTGCTGGTGAGCCCACGCCTGACGTGGGTACCCACCACCCAAACCAAATCACGTGCAACTCGAACATCTCTGGAGCGCAATGACCTCACCCTGTCAACCAGCTCATCAATGAAGAGGTCAAGCCTGTCCTCTTCAAGAAGTCCTGGCTGTCTTTCATCTTCCATCACACAGCTTTCATCTCCTTCTTTCTGTGCTTGCAAGGAGTCATCTGGAGGGCGCAAAATGCTGACCCTCGAAGTGCCCAGGAGCTCATCCCAGGTCTTACCATTGGCCAACTCGACCTCATGTTCGTTCATGTAGTGGAGGGCAATCAGCTGCCCATTTCTGGTCGACGATGCCGGCATTAAAACCATACGCCACATGAAGAGGCTGCACAGCATTTGCCACGCAGCACGCATCATTACACAGAAGGTCAAGTAGGGCCCTATTACCGTCCCACACCAGACAATCTCAGCCATATGCAGCGTCACCACACACAGCTTCATACATGTCCAACGCTTCACAGTTTATTGCCAACCAATGCTGTCCTGTCTGCCACTTGTCCATGCCACATCCATCTGCTGCAAGAAAACCTTCTCTCTTTCTCTCCACACCACCCTGTTCTGCGCCACTGATCTCCAATCACCACCCGCCGCACGGTCTAAGGCCTTTTCTAATGGCATCAACCTCGCAAAGAATCTGCCTCCATGACGTACTCCCTGAGGCCTTGTTTGTTCCGCTAACCACCACCCTAGCGGCCTCCACTCATCAATTTGGACACTTGCAATCTGCACCTGGTTGTTCACCCCTCTAGCTCGGTGTCCGGAGTACCTCCATAGTTTTTGCAACCATCTTGTGCTCCATCGCTGGACCTGGAACCTGTGCATCATCGCCCTCATCTCTCTCCTCACTCGAATGTGATGCTGTAACCACTCTTCTCCCGGTTTCCTACCTCTGTTGTTCATCCATACAGCAAACTGTAGTTGCAATGAGTTGATGAGCCCCAGCGCGTGACCGTCCGGTAAGATAGCACCAATACACCAGAGCAAGCATCCCCCGACCACAACATCCATGATTTGTAACCTCTTCCGGAGATTCTGCTTCCTGCACACAATATGTTTCATAGCCCAAAACCCATCTTGCGCTTTGCTGATAAGCGGCGCTAGTGTTTCGCATGCTGTTTTGCGTACTCCCATACACAAGCCCATAACATCCAGCTGACCTTCTGGGTGCATAGTTTTGCCCATCACCACCAACTGTCGGTCCCCCGTCGCATAAGGACTACAGTAATACTGACACTTGCTCAGATTGATTTCCAGTCCCCAGGCGGCCAGTTCCGTGGCAAGTTGCTCCACCCTCCGAGATAGATCCTCAGCCTTGACGTCCCATGCCACTGCGTCATCCATGAAAAGGACCTCCCTTACTGGGAGCCCATCTATGCCCGGGCAATTAGGTTCCCAGCCATACCTCTCCGCAGCTGTCTGCACGCAGAGCTCAGCCAACTGTCCAAAAAACGATGGCGACTCTACTGCACCTTGACGGATGCCCGTTCTCATCTCGAATGTTGTGTTGCCCCAACTGGTCTGGAGGTGTGATCGCGTTGGCTTCAATAATTCATACCACGCCTTGCTCAGCCTGTTGTGACCAATCTTATCTTGAAGCATCATCATGAGTCTACTCCTGGAAACCCGATCGAAGGCCCTAGCAATATCGATCTTAATCCACCGCAGACCAAGGCGCCACTCCCTCTCCAGGTGCATTAGCTTGTGGATGGTATAGATATAATCAGTTGGTTGCCTCCCTTTTCCAGAACATTGTCTTCCACCTGGTTCACCTAGCCTTTCCTTACATCGCTCCAGCAACATTCGTGAGAAGAGTTTGCACGTTGCCGAACTGAGACTGATAGGTCTGATGTGCTTGGCTTCCACCGGAAACTTAATCTTGGGCAACACCACCATCACAATGTCACACCAGCTCTCGGGCTGCTTTCCAGTCTGCAGAATTTTGTTGTACCACTGCAACAATTGTGTAGCCGCACATTCATCCACACAGATTGCTTGTAAAAGTTCATGGCTCACACCATCCACCCCCACTGCCTTGCCTGTCGCACCTCTCACCGCTGCATCTTGTAATTCTTGCAGGGTGAAGTCTGGGATCTGTTCTTCTTCCCTTTCTTCCCAAGGTGGCATATCAGGGGATACGTGTGCTCCAAGTGTTCGTGGATGGCCTCACGCGGTGCTCCTTGTGTCGCTTCAGCAAACCCCGCCTCCAGTCCCCAGAGGCCGCCGCATCAAGTCTCTCCCGCTCCCACTGCATTCTCGCTTGCCTCCTGGCCTGTAGAGCTTCCGTCCAGTGACCAGCTTGCTTTGTGTCCCTCGCTCTCTGAAATTTTGCTTTAACTTCAGCCGTGTCCTTATAGCATTTCCCTGGTGGACCCTTCGTGCACTCCCTCGCGACCCTATTCAATTCCTCTTCGTTCATTTCCTCAAAATTGGGCAGCGGTTTAACTACTACTCGTGGCCTGGCGTCGAAGCGTCTCCTGTTCCCTGCTCCTGGTTGCAAGAGGATCATCGATGTAACCAACTCATGATCCGAGCCCAGGATGTCACAACCGTCTCTGCAAATGCTCACTGGCGATATTTCCACTCTGGCACTGGCGATGACATCAATCACATTCCCTCGAATCCCTTGCTTCCTCGGCCTGGACGTTGGCAGGTGCCTCTGCTCTTCCTTCGGGGTGTGAACCCTGAGACTGCGGGACTTTAGTATATCCAGCACGCGGATCCCTTTGCCATCTTTCCCAAACGGAAAAACCCTTCAGCATCGCGCCCCCATCCCACACATGCATTGACATCTCCCATCAGCACGGTCGGCAATGAGGTCGGCCACCTGCGTGCACCTCTGCGTGCAGTGTATGCTGCCAATCCACACCTCTGCTTGCGTGACAATATGCTTCACTCTAACCCAAATCCCTCTCTCATACTCTCTTCGGCGCATGATCGTCCATACCCTTGGATTGTACAACACTCCCACCCCTCTCCATTGCTCATCTCTCCTATGTGACACAACTTCCCAACCATCTTGAGTCTCCGTTTTCCAACCAGCAGGCCCTCGCAATAGCTCCTGAAGCGCAAACAGCCCTGCAGCACTGTGCTCTTGCGAGCTCTGGTTCAGGTGAGTAGCTTCTTGAATACCTTTCGGCAATTCATCCATGGCCACGCCTCCCAAGTTCCAGCTCCCAAGGAACACCGACAGCTTTGCCTTGGTGTCAAGCGTATGTCAGCGCTGAGTCTCCTTGATAGCCTTTTCAACTTCTGCCGTTGCTATGCCAAGTTCCCTTGCAATCCCGCCGATGTGTAGCCAATGCGTCTCGCCATCCTTGTCCTGGACGAACAGGTTGTCTTTGTCAACGCTTCCAACCTTCGTACTCCCCAACCATGAGGACCCTGTAGAGTGTTCAACATCAACTGCCGAGCGAGCCTCATCCACATTTAGAGCCCTAGGGATCTTTTTGATCCAGGTTGCGTGGGCCCCTCTCTTCCTCTCCTGGGGTGTCTTTGAGAACGACGTCCAGATCCTTGTCCCTGTAGACGTCTGGGCTGCATGCTTGTTAAAGGCAGAGATTACATTGTGCATCCTTCGTTTGAGAAGGCTCGTCTCCTCGCCGCTTCGCGGCCAAAAGTTGGCCAATGCAATTGATCTTCTTGCTCCTGTAGTGAAGGGATCATCATCCGGCAAGGATTCCGTCTCCGTGAGCCGCAAAGCTTTCTGGAGGTCGGAGAGTATGGCCTGACGCCTACTTTCGCGGGGCCACCCCCCAAACACTAACGTCATCCGACTGCTGCTTTCCGATGGGGCTTTGGTCGAATTCTCCTTAGCGTTCTCTAGCGCATTCACCCTCTGCGTCAGGACATCCATAGCCGACTCCATCTGCTCCATTTTGGATGCCGCCTCGTCCAATCTACCCGTCATAGTACGGAACATGTCTTCCTGCCTCTTTTCCATGCGGTCCACTGCCTGGTCCAACTGCCTTTGGTGGGATTTTAGCAGCCCTTGGGGTTGTTCTTGCAAGAGGCTCCTCAACACATCCATTTCCAACAGGACAGGGGCTTCAGCTTTCTTCGGCTTTTTAACCACCTCCACTTCTGGCACTTCATCATCCGAGATCCCGGCCACTACTGTACTGCGTCTGGGAGACGCCATCCCTCCACACTTGATTTGCCTCGATCCCTTCAATGCCAAAGCACAGTCAGGTAGGTGGCAAAGTACTTCTCCCAGCGTCGGAGTAGTTCCTAAACCCTTCCTGCAGCAGCTCCTCAACAGGGTCAAAGGCCAGTCGTGCAGAGAAGGCCCTCGTCAGTGCCAAGTCACAGTCAGGTACCTGATCTTTGGCACCACCCAGCCTTGCCCTCAAGTCTGAATCGCAATAAGGAGCAACTCAAATGACGGGTCAAAGGCAAGTAGCGCAGCACCTGATCACCAGGAGGAGCGACCCCGACGTTCACAAAGAACAGAGCGATGGGCTGGAGGTCACAAAGTATTCAGACTGGTAGTGGAGCTTTATGGCAGTCTACAGCAAACCGAAATTCACGGAACCCCAGGGGAAACCTTAGCCTTGAGCCAATAGGGACCTTGAGCCAGGTTTTAGGGTTTAGGGTGCAGGGTTTGGGGCTGCAGCCAGATGGCAGGATTTGCCTAAGAATCCGCAGTGTACAGGCGGCGCTCAGATACAGTGGATAGCTGCCCTGAATCCTTTTGTTAAAGTCATTGGCCGAAGTGAAAGCCATGGGGCAAAGGACTTGGAGGCCAATAAATCTAGTCCCCCTTGAGAAGATAGAATATGCCTTTGGGCATATTAATATCAGCTCCCCATATACCCCATATTATTTTTACGTAAGGGGGACCATACCTGAGGGCATGGAGGCAAGGAAGCCCGGCCCAATTGCCGGCGAAGAAATCGAGTCTCCAGCCAAGAATCGCACAGCTTCACTTGGATATCTGTATAAGCTTTGTCTTAGAGCTACGCATATAATCCCCCTCAAGTAGTTAGAACATGGGCGATATGATATGGGGATCTTATTATAATATACCCAAAGCCATGTTTTTCTATGCACTGAAGGGGCACTATAACCCCAATATATACTCTACTATAATGTAGTAGTTCCCATGTTCTTTTCCATTATACCTATATAATATAAGCCCCATATTCTACCCTATCATAATGTAGTAGTTTCCATTTTCTTTTCCATTATCCCTATATAACCCCAACCCTAAACCCTAAATCCCCTACACCCTAAACATTAAACCCTAAACCCTAAATCCCCTACACCCTAAACATTAAA